TCACTGATTCAAATTTAGAGAGTATGGAAAGGCTATATATACTCTCTAAATCTGAATTAGTCAAAATTTTACTAATTGAATTAGTAACACTATATTTTACTAATGAATTAGTTGTTTCATCACTTTCTACTAAAAAAAATAATCACTTTTCATTACTGAATTAATTAGTAGTGCTTTTTCTACTAAAAAAAATAGTCACTTTTAATGACTAAATGAATTGTAGAGATTTTCTTCTAATTTGTTAGTCATGATATGTGCATACATCAAAATAAGCAAAAATAGCTTAATTGAAAATTTTTTAATTTATTATACAACATTATTCTGTTCCAACCAAAGAAAAATCAGTTTAACAAATGCACAAGTAATTATTTTCTATTAAGTAATTATGAAAAAAATATTTATTTTTCTTTATGTCCAGTCATAACAGTTAGGTTTTGTAGGTTATGTTTACCAAAATTGACATATAATTAATTTAGTAATATAATATTAATAATGATGATATTGATATTTTGATCAAATTGAATGTGTTCAAACTCAGTTCTTCAAATGTTTGTATAGATGGCCAAAAAACACTCCAAACTATTGTTGTTATGTTAATGTTAATTAATTTAATTAACAAATCTAAATCAATATTGGCACATTTATAAGACTCTAATTACAAATTTATATAATAATTAAATTTGTATAGAAAACAAATCGACTTTACCTTATTTATTAGCGATTTGACAACGAGTTTATGACAATTTGTTTATAAGAGACATTTTGTAACTAATTTTCATAGCCTCCTTTGGTTGAGCGCGTCAAGGCGCAGCTCCCAAGGTAGAAGGCAAGGTAATGGGTTCAAATCCTAGTGACATCTCCCATACCAGTAATTATCGCAGAATAATTTCGAAAATGAAATAAATAAATTTTTTTTATTGATTCACGTTATTTAAACTATATAAAAACAAAATATAATCGTTTTCTATTTTTTAAGCAATAATTTTTGTCAATTTTCAAAATAAATACGTCTACATTACCTACTTTATCTACCTATGTATACCTATCTAGAAACTGAAACTACTAATTCATTTAGTGGTAGATTATAGTTACAGATTGAATTAGTAACTTTTGACTAATTCACAGTAAACGAATCCGCCCTATTTGAATTAGTCAAAAATGACTGTGAATTAGTCAAAAATGACTAATTCAGATTTAGAGAGTATATACTTACTAGGTTTTTACTTTGGACAGGAGATTATTATGTACAGCTTGAGTTAATTAAATGTTTGGTTTACTCAGACAAAATTTTTATTTATTTAAAAAATTTTTAAACACCAAATATTTATTATAATCGAATCATTTTGTTTAAACATATCCGAAAACGAACGCTTCAATAAAAAAAAGAAAAATTCATTTTAAAATAAAGATAGTCTTTGTTAAATATGCGCAAGTGTTCAAATGATAGTATGAATAATGAGGGGGGAGGTGGTAAATTGTAAAAGACGAAATATAATGAGAGACGTCTTTTCTATTTTGTGTGACGACCTACGACAACCTGTAACTCAAGCAGAGGGTTTACGTCCTCATCGCATCTCGGTCAGATTTCAGACTTCAGATTTCGAGGGGCGTATCTTAATCGACGTATCTCATCTAGATAGTCCGCATGCTATCAAGATTAACTCTCTGCACAGGCATATATAGGCATATATCTTGGGTGTAATCTTCTCGCGAGAGGCACGTGGCACGTGGTTCTCGTTTTCCCGATCTGATCTAAATTTGGAACCGTCGAAATGTTGCGAGACATTTCATTCACGGCGATATGATGTCACTCTCTCGCAGCATATCTTTTCACATTCACTCAAATCAAGCTTTTCTATTTTGACTCCATATATACCTGCCTTTTATCAAATTATAGGATTCAATTTCGGCCATTATTATACTCATCATTGGATATAACCTATATATGTTTGAGGTTTTTAATGTAATTTTTTATATGTATGTCTTGAAATAAAATTTCTAGTTTCAATAATTTTATCAATAAGACCCTAAAAAATTACTAAAGCTTTTCTCTATTCAACAATATAAATTTAGAATATATTTTTAAAGTTAGAAAAAAATATTACTAAATTAAATATATTTTTTTCTAAAAATTAGTGAAAATTTATAATAATTTGAATTACACTGTTTTCATAGTATAATTACAAGCCCAAAAATGGACTGAAATAACTTATTTTGAGGCAATAAAAAATTGGCCAATATTCATCAGTCATTTTCACTGCAATAAATAAATAATAACTTATATATATACTTGATATCTTACAATAAGATGTAATATGGAAAAATGGTATCATTCATCTTAAAAAAATAAGATATTTTGTAAAGCATATATAATCTTATTAATATTTATAAGATGCTTTTTAGCGTTTTAACGAGGATTAAAATATTTCTTCCATCTTAAAATGTATAGGTTTATACTTCGGCAAGTTTCTTTAAGTAAATTAATTGTGGAGTCATAAGATCAAGTACTCTCTAAATCTGAATAAAAGTGAATATTCACTTTATTGGAATCCAAAATCGACCACGTAAATTAATAATTGCACATATACACAAACGCATATAAGTATATTCACCCAATGGGAAATTTATATATACCATTGGCAAAAGTATATTGGCAGCATTTGACCCAATAGTGGACTATCATTTGTCCTATAATGGTTTAATTGGTTACCGCATTGGCAATTTTCTACTGAGCACTTATTTAAAGTTTATATGCGCACTTGTTTTTTTACGTGAACGAGTTTTTACATATTCAGATTTGGAGAGTATATCTTATTACATAAAGAGCCCCATATTTATAACCTTAAAATTTTTTTCACATAAAAAATTTGTACTCATATATTTATTGCATCTCAAAATTACTTCATGTTATGACTTTGCCATCAGTGCGCGGTGGTTCTAAGATATAAATGTAAACTTTATAGTAATTAATATACTTTTTTATTTTTATATTAATATTTATTAATTTTTAACTGAAAAAAGAGTTATATTTTAATGATTAATGTCATAAATTTTTAATATCATTGTCATAACCCTTTTTAAATTTTATCTATACTTATATATATATCACATGCAATTAAACCACCTATTAAAAATGAAGATAAAAATATATTGAATGACGCCTTTCCTTTGGCAAGACAAAACGTCGTTTTTATTAGGTGCAGTTAATTTTCAGCAAGATTCAGTGACGCTGAACGAATCTGGCATCCGCTGGTTACAGATCATTCGTTCACTATCATAATTTACGTAATAAGTTGCGGGATCGCTCGCGAACCTCATATATACACCAACGAGTAATGGAAAAATCAGTACCTTTATATAAAGGATACAAATTTAATGCAACTCTTGGCAAATATCCCGGGTGCGATTCTCTGTCAAATAGATCTAGCTGTAGTGAATATATTCTTATAAATATTAATATATACATATATATATGACCGCGCATATATCATATAGTGAAATGACTCATCTTCATATCATATTAATATAATTCTTTTAATATATATACAAGTCAGCACTTGTCTTTTAATCATATTTATCATTAAATAAATATATATATATGATAATATATATTTAAAATAAATATATTTGAGGTATTTATATATATATATATATTGTATCAAATATAATAATATGTATTATATACTTAATATTATTAATATTATATAAATTATCACATATGTCGCTCTGTTTCGTACAAATAAGTCAGGATATAAAAATGACTATAAGTATAAAAGAGTTGCCACTTTGTCTTTATGACTTAACAGAATAAGTCCTCCGCTGCGTATATAGGATGTCACGCCTGCGCAGAACTTATATGAACATGGTTTAATTAAGTCACCAATCGAATAGTGTACCGAACTTTAAAATAACAAATTTTCAAATCTTAATTAAGCCCAATTATAACAAAATAATTAATTGATATGGTTCTAAGTAATAAACCACAATCAAGGAGAAAAATGAATAAATATATATATATATATATATATATATACTTTAAAAGTAGAACTGAAACTGTCTGCAGTTTCTGTGCATTTATGTCAATTTTTACTCCAGAAGTAGTAAAATTTACTACGAAAATAGTAAATTTTACTATTTCTGGAGTAAAAATTGCCAGAAATGCGCAGAAACGCAGTTCCGGTTTTAAACTACTTTTAAAGTAGTACAAATTACTTTATTATAGGTATAGTTATCCCATTTTTCTCTGCGGTACTTACTATCTTAATAGTAACAATATTCGTGATGAGTATTCATTATGTGCATGTGTGACTTGCACCATTGTCATTTGCGCAAAATTTTATTTATTTGTGCTTGATAGAAAAAACTTTGTTTTATATATATAGTAGCGTCTCAAATTAAACCACATATGGTGCTGCCACCTACGAGGCTCATTTTTATTGCATTTCAAATTAAGGTAACGTTCGATACTTAAATCGAATTCAAGTTTTGTTTAGAAAATAAAATACATTTTAGAAACAAAGAATTGATTCCATTTTTCTCCCTAACGCATAACTCATAAATATATCAAATCTGATGAAATTTTAAAAATAGGTAAAGATTTACACAACTTTCTTTTTCCGCTTTCCTCTTTAAGGTAACCCCTTATATACAATGAACACAGATTCTTTAACCAGAGAGAAAAAAAAAAGAGAACCCTCTCGTTGCTTTCGCGGAATTTCACGAATGAGAGGACGTCGTTACAAGGAACTTTTGTTCCGTGAGCATATAAACTCGCTTTTTTTCCGCGGTGTTGACAGAAGTTGCGACGAGAAGGTAAAGTTGGGTTAGGTAAACCTCTCAACGAAGGAGGAGGGGGTTAAAACGATAAGGGGGTGGGTGAGTTAACGCCCGGTCGGAGGTGGTACTCCGCGCTGTAGGCGTTTCCACAGTGACCCGATTAAAACCGATTGCCACCGAAGAGACACGAGTTGTGGTGAACGTGGGGGCTTCACAGGTTTGTGTTTTTCTGCGCTTTAGTTCCGCGCCGGGTGCCACGAATGTTGCATCTATCATATTGTGTGTGCGCGCGTTTTTCAAACATTTTCCCACAAATTTTCGCATTTAAAGTGTGTAGCGCGAATTTCAATTGGTTTAACAAAAAGGATTTAATATTTTCAATGCAGCTCCTGCAGGTGGGAAAGATCAAAATCAAGTCTGATAAGATTCTTTCTACCTGGACCCTCCCGTGAAGTTAAAATTTTCAACAACTCGAAAACGATGTGCTGTGTGTGTGTACAGTGCAGTGTTCTGGTGATTACTTAGTGATAACACTTCGCGCCACCTACAAACTAGTCGCTATCATCGTTATCCTAGGATTGACACTCGAGATAAGGTAAGCAGTTTACTTTTCATCTCGAGCGGCGCTTATCAACCAGTGATCGAACTTCGAGTGTCGAAAAGTCGTTTACTCAGGATTAATTTACAAGATGAAATCTCGTTTTAGTCCTCTTACAACACATTTTTATGGGAATAGGTTTTTCTTGATAGCAGTGTTTTTGGTGAATTTAGTGCACTGAGTGGAAAAATATTAACATCTCGAATTGATCTGTTAGGTCCTTAAATAAAGATCATTGGGAAATTTTATGGTATTTAAATTAATGCTATTTAACTTTTGTTCTTTTATTGTTTCTCTGTCATTAAAAACAGAACTTCACTGCAATTTTTTTTTGCAACAGAAACAATTCACGATCATCTAATTTTTCCTATAACAAAAAACCGAGGGCAGGCATATAAAATCAGGGAAATTTTGAAAATTTAAAGCAATTTTCCTATAAAAACAAACAGTAGTTCTACGTAAACATTTCTAAGGATCAGTTTTGTATTTACTCAAAACAGTGAAAATTTATGACGTTGTTAGTTTATTGACAGTTGAAAATCATGTCTTTGATTGTTATTTGAATAAATAATAATTAGAGATGCCTATTGCAATACATTTTTGACAATTTTATTAAAAAATTTTTGTATTTCAATTTTTAAGTTGAGTATACTTAAGAAGAAAACTCATTGCATTATTCGAATAATCTTTTTACACGGAAGGAAAATAAATATCAAATTTTATAAAAGTATTTTCAAGTCGTAAAAAATATGCTAAAAAGTTTATAATTTTCAGATGAGAAATTCTAAAGTTTAGAAAAACTTTAATAAAATTAATATAGAATTTAATAAAATTTCCTATCATTTAGTAGTGAAGTTAGTTTTACGTTAGTTTTGCTAAATTTTAATATAACTTGTAAATTTCCTACAAGCTTATTAAAGATTAGTATTGTATGAAAATTACGTTTTTTACCATATTTTCCACGACTTGAAAATTCTTTTACAAAATTTGAAAATAATTTTATAAAATTAGATATCATTTTTTTTCCGTGTAAATTTCTATTGTACTGAAAGGCATATACGTATAACGTTAAAAATAACGAAATTTTTGTCTTTTTTACTACGTCTTTGTATTAAATAAAAGAGGATAAGAAATTTCATAATTTTTAACGTTATATAAGCGCAAATCATTCTTTTAGATTATTTGATTATATATTATATAAATCTAAAACTTTAAAGTATTATTAAACAATTGATTTTTCAATTTACATCTGTAAAATAATATCGCCTCACTGGGAAAAAAGAAAAAATAATTTTTTCTACTTTCGGAGTAAAACGGAAATTGTCACAAGTTTATGCGCATCTCTGGCAACTTTTACTCCAGAAATAGTCAATTTTACTATTTTTGGAGTAAAAGTTGCTAGAGATGCGCAGAAACTTCGGAGTTCCCGTTTTACTTTGAAAGTAATAAAAATTGCTTTTCCTTTTATTCCGTGAATTATACTCAACGAAAAAATCTAAAAAAAAATCTCCGAGTTTCAATATCGAATTTTATCAACTGTCAAATTGTAAATATATATATTAAAAAGTTATTTATTTACATTATTATTATCATCTTAAGAAAATTCAATGAATTTTTTATTTCCAATAATTGCTACAAAATATAAATATTTTATCAAATTCACAATTGAAAATAATTTTTCATAATCATCCAATCGTTTGGAAAATAAATATTATTAATTACTAATAGAAAAGTAATAAAAATACAAATTTAGTACTATGTGAAAAAATTTACTGATTAATCTAATGACAATAAATAGTACAATAAAAATTGTGTTTTAGTCAAAGGCATGATCTGTCAAAAATATTTTGCAAAATAATTGAGACGTGTATTTCAGAATATTTTAAAATAATTTATTCTTAAATTTGAAATATATTTTTATTTATAGCGAAATTTAATGATAATTTTTGAATTAAAATAAATAAATTGAACATAAATTTCAAAAATAGATGTCAAGGATTTCTTCTAAAATAATTTTTTTCACTATGTCATTCTGCAATTCTGAAGGTCTCGGTATATATGTATATTCGCATCAGATTTGTTGTCTACTCTAAATTTGCAGATTTGCACAATTTGCGGATTATTCCGAAATTCCGTAAAGCTTCATTGCGCCCACAATTAGAGACGTTTAATTTAAAGCACCTAGGATTATCTGGGATTACAATGTCCAAACTTTTGAACCTCTTGGAGAGTCTGGAGAGTCGCGCAGGTATATATATATATTGGCGACTTGGGTTCTTCAATAGGAGTGCGAGCAACATACACATAAAACTTGCAATATTATTTATATTGTCATGAAATAAAAGAGATTATATGGTTCGTTCAAATCCTTTTAGACATTTGGGTAAACACAATTTTCTTTTGGAATATCGTTTACAGGGGCGTATTTATATATATATAAAAGTATATATCGAGAGAGCTAGACTTCTTAAAAAAAAGTCTTGCAGCTTTTTCTGTCTCGAGTCGTTAAAAATCAATTAGTAACTAGCGCCATTTTCCTGTCTAGACAAATTAAAGAACATCAACATGAATTGCCAATTCTGGGCCTGGATGCGAACTTTCTACTCTTAAATCATTTTAAAGCGTTTTTTTTCGAGTTTAGGAAACTTATTTGAAGTTAGTTGCACTCAGTTCAGTTTCGTTTGTGCATCGGGGAAAGTGTTCATTTTACTTCGGCAGATTTAACTTTGACATAGAAAAGTTTTATAATTATAGGAATTATTAAATATAATTCTGTTTATTTATAAGAAAAAGAATTTTTATAAGAAAAATAAGGTAGGAATTATTTTTCTTCTTTTATTTGAATTAAATATGAAAAAAATATTTTCAAAATTAAATAACTATTTCTTTGAACGAAAAATAAAAATTATTTCAAACAAATAAATATTAAAATAATATATTAATAATATTAATTAATATTACAATAATATTTATAAATAAATAAATATCCCTACTGAGTGATATTTAGTTCTGAAATATATTTACTATTGTTAAAATTTCAGTTTTTTTGGAAAGTTTTTTTTGTTGAATTTTTGGCATTAGAAATATCTATATATTCAATCATTCGAATATCAAATAAAAAAAAGTGCGATAATAATGTGACAGGTAGTGTTGGAACAAAAGTGGACTTCTATATTATCCGACGGCAGAACAGGTAGATTAATCGATTCAGTCCATAGCTATTGTTTGCTTTTCGGTACAGAAATTTAACTGAAATATTTTCAATATAAAATCGAATTTCACGGTAATTTCGTATATCATCAATTTTCACACACAGCTTTGAAATATAGTGTTAAATCTCACATATTTAAAAAATAAAAAAATACAGAAGTACATTTTTTTATTGATACAATTAGGAAAATTTCTCCATTTATGGTGAAAATGAAAAAATATCATAGACTTTATAATATAATTTTTTTTACAATTATATCGTAATAACAATTTTTTTTATAATTGTATTATTATAATAAAATAAATTTTAATAACTGGCTTTTAAAATATTTAAATATAACTTATAATTGAAAGAATATTCTCAGGACTCAATTATTTTCTTGATTTTTTGGAAGGATAGAAATCTTCTGGATCAATTATCTTTTTTTTTATAAAATATACGATGTTTTGATACAGTATTCTCTTGAGCTGATATAAAATCCATATAATATAATTTATAATCATATAAAAGAATTATAAATAAATGAAGCAAATAATTATATACACGCAAATTTATAATAGCAGAAATGCCTCAAGTGCGAGAAAGATGTAAATTTTCTTTATTAATGTCAAAATAAGCATGAACATTAACATGAAAAATAACTTATAATTGCTTTCGCTAATAATATATAACTTATTATTTTACGAGTTGCACTCAACATTTATATAATTGCTTTTTGTAAATAAATAATTAGTTCACCACAATCCATATTATAAATATATATGTGCGAATTTGACCTGACTATATACAATATAATTATGCAATATACCTAGTAAAAGTCTATGATATTTATTTCCGGAATATTTATTAATAATTATTTTTATGTAGCAATATACTTTCAATCATAAAACCTTTATTTTGAATGTGTTATGAAAATGAAAAAACAAAATTAAAGTAAACAAAGTTAATTTTTTCTAAGTTTCATATCTCTGGACACTTCCGGCGAGGAATAAAAAAGTAGAACATGTCTATTCGCGGGGCACCGCAAAACAATAAACGGGCTTATTGGGGTTGCATTCAGCGATAGGGAACGTAAAGCATATTGTTGGTCTATAGCATAAGCTATAATTGGTAATTTGCAAGTATAATCACGTGGCGGTTTGTGTTTTCATTTATTAGCCGCGAATTGCCTCCGCTTATTAGCGCATCAGCGACGCATTTAAAATAACTCGTTTTTTTAAAAGTACTTTTGTTCATTTGTTTGGTCTCTTGAAAAATAATCATTTTTACCCAAAAAACGGTGCAACAAATTTTACCCTAGTCTTTAGTAAAAATTAGCTCAACAGAACTATGGCAGATTTTTTCCGTATTTTGCGAATAAGAAAGATTCGGAGAGTTCGAGATTTAGGATGAGATGAGACACGGATTCTTTTTTTATTGTGAGAATTTTCTTATGAACTTTTGATACTGTGTGCAAAATAATAAACTCTTGTGATTTTTTCGCACTTCGTTCCCTATTAATGGCTCAAGTAGATTGCGCTCCTTCAAGTACCAACGGAAGTTGTAAAATTTACCTTTCAGCGTAATCGGTTCTGTCGAGAGTTTCTCGGATTCAGGTTCATGTTTATTCAATTTTAATCTTTATGTATATATGTATTATATATACTCTCGCTATTTTTTCATTTTTTGCGCCTTTGTATGCGTAATGCGCTCACAATTTCTGTTGTCGTTCGAAAGTCGTTTTTTTCAAAAACAATTTAACATCCTGTTGAACTTATTTTCAAGATCAACACCCAGAAAAAAGTAATCATATATGTATATAGAATATTAAAAGAAATTTCTTTTCTGATATTTCTTATTCTTTTATTATTAATTTTTTTAAAGAAAGTATATGGTAAAAAAGTTTCCATTTAATTTTTATCATACATTTTTCGAGGATTTTAATTTTAAACGAAAAGAATTATAAAAAATCTTTTGGAACTAGAAAAAATTACTTCTGAAATAGTAAATTTTACTCTGGAAATAGTATATTTTTTTACTATCGGAGAAAAAGCTAGTATAGAAATGCGCAGATTAATGTTTAAAAACTAAAATTATGACAAATTGGATAAAAAATAAAAATGGCGGCAAAATTTAAATTCTGTGAACAAATTAATTACACATAGAGAAAAATGGAAAAAAGAATAAAGTAACTTTTACTACTTTAAATAAGTAAATAAGTACTATTTCAGGAGTAAATTTTACTATTTCTGGAGTGTATAAATTTTCGTTTTGATTTAAATCCGTGTAAAATTGCCACCTTTACAAACATTGTTTTTACTGTACTAAAACTATTTTCTGGAATATGTGATTCTCAGCATGAAATATGTATATATAATTTTTTCAGTTATTTTTCTATATAGTTTTTCATTATTATATGTTGTACGTGCCTCGATTGGTGCCGTCGGATCGAAACAAATATATACAAAATTCGATGATTTTTTTTCACGTTGTTGGACTATTTTCTATTGTGAATGTTTATTATATACTATTTTCTAGACATTATTTACTCCTGTCATTTTCTATTTTGCTTGTCATGGTCTTCTATATACATATTTTTTTTGCAAACATTTTTTTTTGCAATAATATTCTATATGATGAATATATATATAGTGAAAGAAAGATGTTATAAAGTGATTTAGATGCTGTTGAAATCTCAAATGATTATGCTGTTCTCTAAGTGCAATAACCAATGTACGAGAGAGTGGCAGAGAGTTTGCTTTCTCGCAACGGGGGGAGGAAAAGTCGGAAACAATATAACCAGGAGCGGATTAATCGAAGTCTCTATTGTTTTCTATTTATTAAGCTAAAAATCGCTTTATTAAAATTAAAAATTATTTTCTATAAAAAATTAAATTTCTGCTTTCTTCAGTATTCCAAAGAGTGCGTATTTCAATTACCAAAGTGTGTTAAATCAGATTTAAGGAATTGGTTAAAATTTTTTTAAACTTTGCTTCACAATTTAAAAATAAGCTTTTTTTGGATATTTCTTTCTATTCTAGGCGTCGTAACTTTGTTGGCATTGAGGATAACAGAATATATAGATTACAAAAATCATTCGATAAGATATATATATATATATATATATATTTCGTGTACGATTTATCTTAAATTTTCGATATTTAAAGAAAAGTGAGTTTCTGAGAAAATTCAAACATTATTATTCTTAACATTTTTATGCCTTTTAAATTTTTTTCAAATTATTTTCATAATTGTGTTATTATTATATTATAAAAATTCACTAATATATTTGTAATATTTACATATATATTTCATCTATAAGTGAATTTTTATTACCTATACGGTGAAGAAAAACAGTAAATAAATTATATCAAAAATGATTTCCATTACATTTATATATACGTCATTTCCATAAACTTTATAGACAATTTCAAATCGTTAAATTCTCATAAATTTTCCAATTTAAAATTAATAATTCTCAAATTAGAGAGAAAATTCAAATTTTGAAATATATATCCTCTTATGGCTTTTTATGGATATTATGTTTCTTTCGTCGGATCGAATATTAAATATATATTTAATAAAAATTGGCCTTCCCAGGTGATTATTTATCATTGTTTATTTGAAATTTTTGTAAGGAAAAAGATCATTTTGGCGATAAATTAAAAAAAAATACATATATGAATTATCTAATCTTTCATATAATATATAATAAAAACGTCATACATATATATATGTGCGACTATATTTAATCTCAAAAAAAAAATTAAAAATTAATTTTTCTTCAATCTTCTCTTCTTAAATAAAATAGAATATTTTCCAATGATCTTTTTTAGGGATTTTCTGTTACCTAATTATTTAAGACTGCGTGTTACATCACACGATAATACTTGGATTAAAGGTCGCTTATCTCTATTTTTTCACTCATTTATGTATTTCTTATCGGAAATATTTGACGTTCCGATTCTTCCATAACTTCTGCACGTATTAGATAAATTTCACCCAGGATATACGAGACAAAAGTTTGTCGTTAGATAAAAAACTATTTCGATAAATTTTTTTCCCCTCAAAATTTATTTCTCGTTTCAATTTTTTTTGTGTGTATTGTTTCCGGCTAAAATTTCCTAATACTTGATCAATTACGATATATCATTGATAAGTTTGTGATTTGACAAAATTTTTCATTGACAAATAAAAATACTGGGATTTTGATCTGATGATATAATTTGATGGATGAATTCATTACCTCGTCAATCGTCATTTGATTTTTTTAAGATAATTACTCGAAGGTAATTACGTCTTTCTTGCTCAAATTCGAAATATGAGGATTAAAATTGAGAATTAAAAAATGACGAAATGGCGCCCAGTGAACACGATATTATGATTTTTAAAATTTATTATATATATTCTATTATTATTTTATTATCATTATTATATACTATATATAATATACATTTTTCAACAATTTATAATTTGCCTTAAAATACAAGAGTCGTAAAAATTGTCTATGCAATAAATATTTTTTATGCCTAACAATAAAATTCGGTTGGACATCCGTCTAATAGAAATTAGTTCACTAGCGGAATAAATTAGCTGGGAGTTAAATATGGTATAGGACAGCGCTTACGACCTGCGTAATTTGCTACCGGTGTCATTCTGATAAGTCAAATAATGTTCACTATCCATTAAAGTAATTTCTAACACTGTCAGAAGACAACTTTATCGATAATGCATGTTCAATCTTCTTCTTTCTCTTTTTCTTCTTCTTCATATATCGATTTTGTGACTTATAAAAAACTTGTCTTTTCATAAAACAAAGATTTATTTCTTTTATAAAAAAATCATCACCTTTAATTAAATTTAATTACGTTCGTCTGTCGAATTCTTGATTTAATCTTATCGATACATAATTTTATCATTTTTTTTACAATATCTTATCGTATATTGTTTTTGACTGTTCTATTTTCTACTTTTACAAAAACCAATTTTCTATATTCAAAATTTTGAAATATTTTAAGTATTAAATTTTCTGTTTGAAATAGGAGAGAATTTTTTAAGTGACAGTTGTGGATTTTAAAAAAGGATAACTATTTCATTTTATAATATTTATATTACTGCCAAAATTCGTAGAAAAATACATTTGATGTAAAATTTTTTTTAATGATATATATAACAGAGTTATTTTTATAAAAGTGATTACATTTTTTTTAGGCAGATTGTTTTTCACAATTTGAAGTATATAACTTGTGGTCGAGGAATTTTTGTGTGATATCGTTATCGATGACCTTGTTTGATCACGCGTTTGTTGATAAATAATTTTGGACTCAGTTACACAAAATCATTTAATTCCAGTATTCCCTAACATAAGTGTTGATCAAGTCGCGATCAGGAAAGATCATATTCGATTGGATTTTTATCACTGTATCTTTTCATATATGTAAGTTTATTATAAATTTCATTTTAAACTAACAAACTTTTCAAAATCTATAATTTTGCCAATAAAAAATAATTAAGGGGCAAAATTTTTCCCTATAAAAATCATTTTTGATAAAACAAATTCTCATCAGAAAAAAACTTGATAAAAATATTTTTCTCCATGAAAAACCTGTTTCAATTAGAAGATTTAAAAAATTTTATACAGAAAATATTTGCTGATTTTCTATCTACTTTCCATATAGAAATAATTTGATAAATAAAATTCACTGCGGAAAAAAAAATTGGGAATTGTTTGCAGAAACAAGCGAGGAAGTGTAATGAACCCCCATGACTTAACACCGTGTCAAAAATAATACCCTGTGTAATTGGTACATTGCGGTATAATATCTTCCGAGTATAAAAGACTCGCTCCTTGGAAATTCGATCCGGCCATTTAGTCGTAAGTCTTTCTATCGATATACTGATGGCATCCGATCTTCTTGCGCATAGGAGGTCTTAATTTCATGTAAGCCGATTTCCCTTGCTCAATATATATATATATATATATATATATACAAATTAAATTCTCGTCCTTCCAGTTTCTTTAAAATAATCGTAACCAGTTTCGCTACGACTTCCAACTAACTGGTCAAGTTTGTTAAGAAAACCAAAAAAATCGACCGAAAATCATATTAATTTTGTCATTGCTACTCGATTACTCTTATTGCTCGCCATATTAGCGACAATTAATTCTTAATTATAAAAAAAATTAATTTTTTTTGTGCTTTCATTTTGTATAATTTGAATTGTTTGTTTGTTGCAGAGGGACAAGAGAAAAACAGGGGAATTCCCGGAGGAGCCGGGATTTAAGAGAAGGACCTTATGACACAGTATCGAGTGGTTGTGACGAGGCACAAAGAGGGGCGCCACTGATAAAAGCCTGTATTTTCCAACTGCCCTCACTTTTTTGATTGGCCTCGGCCTTTCTTTCTTTCTCTTTTGCTTTCTCTCTCTCTCCCTTATTTCTTTTTTTTTTTAAATTTCTTACCGCGAAAAAGTATCGCGCGTGCGCCTACTATTCGACACGTGCGGTGTCATTAAAAAACCGCAAAAATTCTCGACATAATGGACATGAGCAGCGAATCGAGCGCGCCGAGGTCGTGGTACGAGCAGCCGAGGAGCCTCGAACCACCCTCGGGGGCAGGAGGACCAGCCGGGGTCACAGGGGTCGTCGGCAGCCCCGATTACAGGAGTTACTACCCCCACGGACCAACGCCCCATCATCCAGCAGCCGCTCACTACGCTCACAGTAAGTCAACTCTTTATTTACTCTTAAGTCTTTTTTTTTCTTTTCGTTATATTGCCTCTCATTCTTTTTAATGTGTGTTTAACATCAGACTTTTTTTTTTAAAATCAACCTTCCCTTTGGCTCAATTTTTTTTTAAACAGCGCCGCCGTCGCTACTCTCTGATGAAAGACGATCTTTGAATGGACCTAATTAAATTTTACGCTCGCTCTATTTCATCGCTAAAGAACTAATTTTAATAGGATTTCAAATATAAATGTATAGTAGAGTATGTTTTATATTTGCAGGGTTTTTGACATTTAAGACCCGTTTTAGCGTGCAAAAAATTAGCATTTTTTTTTTTTTAATCATTTTTATACCAATTTGTGCTGCAAAAATTTTTTTCAAAAAAATAATAATTAGGACTTAAGAAACGAATTTTTAAGCTTACAAATGCAACTTAATTAAAAATCAACAACATTTTTGTCAGAATTTATTTTTTAAAGAATTTTTAATTAACAGAATTTTTAGTCACAAAATTTTTATTTAGTAGAATTATTAAAATGACGAATTTTTATTTGTCCGAAATTGCAAATGGCCGAACAAACAATCGATTTCGGCACGATTTTTAAAATTCACCAATCAAAAGTTGTCAAGAAAATCGTGATTGGTGGATTTTAAAAATAGCGCCGAAATTGATTGTTTTCTCTGCCATTTGCAATTTCTGACAAATAAAAATTCGGTGCCTAAAAATTCTGTTAATTAAAAATTCTTTAAAAAAAAATTCTGACAAATTTTAATTCGTCTGAAAAATAATTGTATTTAATACAATTCTTTAAAATGACAATTTTAACTAATAATTTTTATGGGATAATCATGCGCCCCACTTGTACAATTCGGTAAAAAATTTATTTTTGAGAATATTTTTGAATATTTTATGATAAACCAAACTTCTTACTTCTATATTAATAATTCGGTTATCAGATGTAACATTTTTTTAGTTTTTTTTCTCATTTTCTCAGTGTTCACATTGTTGATTATAAAGTGGAATTATTTGAGTCTATTTGATGATTATATGTAAACAATTTTTATAATTTCCTGCCAATAGATAATAAATAAATGTGACGCGTTCTGAAAAAGAGACCTAAGAAGCAAAAAATTATAGGCTATGTTCTGAAATTTTCAATACACGCACACAAAATCATTCATTAAGTCTTCATTACATTTAAAATATTCAATATAAAAACTGATTTTGCTTTTATATAAAAAAAGGATAAATTTAATCAAGGTAAAACTGTCGTAATTCTTCTAAGGTTATGTTTAGCTTCTTAGGTCCCTTTCTTTAGAGCGTGTCAGAAATATTAAAAAATTAACGAAATTTCCAAGAAAACCATCAATCTCAAAAATTGTTTTCTGTTTTCCAATTAAGTACAATGCAACAGAGGAATTTTAAGGATTATATATAATAACGTTTTCCAAGGTCGCCAGGTGGTTTATGTCTGAATTTAGATATAAACGCTGCACTATTAAATGCAAATGCAAATCGTAGCACGAATGCTATCGACCAGTGTGCGGAATAGTAGTGTGTGTGTGTGTGTGTTCCTCCGTATAATGCGTCAGAACAACGAAAATTCGTTCGGTGTATAGCAGTGGTGGCCAACCAGCAGCGCGTGCTCGGAATACATATTTGGAGTACATAAGTAATATACGTCCTTGAGATATCCCAAGTAACCACTCGGCCATATATACGTAATGCACAACACGCAATCCGACGCGGGTACTTGGCCAGTGGGCACTCGCGTGCCGAGATTTTGTTCCCTTGTTCTTTTAAAAAAACACTTGGAGGACCTTATTCTCAACTCACCGGGTGACTTTCCGTTTCGACTTTGTGGCCATTCTTTTTCCAAACAAAAGAGCGAATGTGAGTTGTAACATGCGGGCATAGTGATTTGTGAGATGAAGTCGACGTCTCTAATACATTATTGTAATGTACTTCATTGCTCACTTTTCGGACAAATTGGACCAACTAATCCCTTTCAGATATGGTCCACTTGATGACAAACAAATCATTCAGTATTTGATTCTGAAAGTCTTGAACCAAATGTTTCTAAAGCATCAGTTTGTATAATGAAATTTTCAGAATCAGTTAATCCAAAACATCAATTTAAAATATACAAAAATTTTCAAAATCAGAATTTGTTATTCATCCAAATGTTTCCAAAGCATCAATTTGCAACATAACCAAAATTTTCAGAATCAGAGCGAAATAGTTGGTTGGTGGATTTTGATATAAAAATTATTGGGCAAGAAATGTATATATATAAATGTAGGAGGCCTTGAAAAAGAAATAGAGATTACGCGGTCAAGAATATGAGGATGCTATATTGGAGCAGGAGAAATAAAGCCAAAAAGTACATACGATCCATGAAACTTGATCCACCCGGTCGGATCTTGAGGCCTAGAAGGCGATATCCCTGATTCGTGCCGACATACGTGGATCATACCCGAGCCTCTGTTAGCTCGTGGCCCCGAAAAACTGCTGTTCCTAATCGGAATCAAATCTCAAAGACCGCAGAAACGAATTTTGTTTCTTATGACACAAGCCTTCCGCTTTGAAAGACCCGCTGCTTTCTCCATTCCAGTTGGAAATCAACTTAATTCGCGTAACTTATGATCCCGTTTTCCAACTTTCAAGAAAAAAATAAATATTCCTTCCACTATAAAAAGAACATTTATATAAATAGCATTCTGTAAACATTTTTAAAAATAAACATTAATAAAAATGTACATTCATAAAATTTTATAATAAGAACAGGATTGAAAAGAATTTAATTAGCGTGATCCAATTATAGACATTGTAATGTTTACAAGTTAAAGAAGGAGGCTCTTGACACGTTCAAGTTCATTTTCCTTAGTGTGTGACAAAGTGTGATCATAAAGCTGATCATGTTATATGTATCATTATAATGAAATATCTTGGTTTATCGGCTCTTTATTGACTCAATGGAAACTTGATATGAATATGCACTGAACCAGAAAACGAAGGTTGGAGATAAGGAAGATAATTGCATACTGGTTTTACTCCCCATGTGCAAGTATACATATAGCGATTCAGAAATGTTTTTGCAATGCAAATCAATTGGAAATTTTCAACACGAAAATATAGAGTTCACTCAACGAAATGTCCTTTTCCTATAAAAATTGAACCAATCATTTATCTTTATTTTCGTTGATAACAGTGGAATCAATTGTACTTAATGCAGTTTTATTCATATCCGAGTGTCTATAAAAAAAATTGGGGGTTAAGGGAATACAATTTTTGGAGTTGTAAATCAGATCCAAAAATATTTAACATAACTTCCTTAGCATTGATTTCCTTTGCTTCAACTCTCCAAAAAGGTATGAGACATATAGAATTCCGTTGGGATTTAAAATCTGCTAAAACCCTAGTAAGTCGCTTTTCCATAAGGATGAAAATCGGTTGATCAGATCTAGCGATTTTCAAACTTACGAAAAAGCGAGGTTTTTACTTCGGATAGCAGAAATCTAACTCCCTTTTTTGTGTACCGAATACAAATTGTAAAGAAAAAAGAATTAACAATTTAGGCTTTTTAATAAGAGTCGTGTGATCTTTCCTGGAAGTCATATTGTTAATGAACGTTCCTAAAAATGGGTAAAACAACGTTATTCCCAGAGGCCATCATCATCTCAAAGCTGTATATACTATTGGTGCAAATGGATGGATCTGATGTAAATGAAACTTAGTCGAGATGACTTCGAGGAACAAATTTGATACCGCAGGACAGTGTTTTAGATGTTGGCGATAAGATGTTGTAAAGAAACTTTGTAAAGCCGGGTAAAGGAACCCAATCTTGCTTCCCACGTGACCAAAAAACAAAAAGAAGAAGAGGGTCGCTACCTGTGCTTGCGAACGAAGACAGAACCTTTCTGATGAAACGCTGTAATAGGAAAAAGAGAAGCGAGAGGAATACCTGATAAAGGAAAGTGTGTGCGTATGTGTGTGTATTCATGTTTGTCAGTTGGCAGCAGAGGTTGCAGCAGACAGGAAGGAAGCGCAACCAACCGCGAAGCTCCACGGGATCTGAGAGAGGTGCATATATAATTGCAGAGGCCACATAGGGAGGCTCTTTGCCAGAGAGCTGCTGTTTTATGCTGCTGCGCTGCTCTGCCATCCGTCCACTTAAGTTTACTTCTCTCTCTCTCTCTCCCTCATATTTTCCCTACATGGCTCTGTTTCCTCTTCTTCTTTTTCACTTGTTTTCTCCGTTATTTCCTTTCATTTCTTCAGTTTTCTTCTTCATTTCTTGTTCTTATTTTTTATCTCTTCATCCTTTTTTCCTAAAAATTATCTTTAATTTTAAATCCAAATTCTGTATTTTCTCTCATAATTTCTCGATTCTTTCTCTTTCTTCATCGAGACCTCCTCTTTCTCCTCCTCCTCTCTTAAACGGACTTTTGTACATATTTGACCATCTTTTCTGCAGTATTTATGTATGTAGTACGTACTGAAAAGAGAGAACGACGCCATCTTGCGCAAATGCATTCGCCAACCGAAGGCGGAGCCAAGGCTCTCTCTTTCTCCTGGCTCTCCTTTTCTCTACTCTGATCAAACTACAGATCCAGCTTCCCGCTTTCATTTCGTTTCTTCAATTCTTCGAATCCTTTTTCGAGTTAATGGAGTTTTGTAATTAATGAATAAAATTTTTCGCAACTATATTTCATCTTGTAATTTTCGTTTTCTTATATATATACATATTGCTATATATAATGCAGCTTGTTTCTAAACAAAGGGATTACGTTTATAATATGTGCAACAATTTTTACCACATATTTCTGTTATTTACTATAAATTTTATAATTTTTATTAAAGTACAGTTTTTCCCAAGTGTTTTGTTAATACTGATAAACTTATCAATTATCTAAATTATTCGTAAAATTTTCCTAAATGTTGCGTATTTTGTTATATATACTAAATTTTACAAACGCTTTGGAAAAAATTACCA